GTCCGGCATACTTGCGTCGAATCCCGACATCTTGCACGATCAAATTCCGATCGCACGTGTCGAAAACCTCGTACTTGAATAGTTTCTTTTGGAACGTAAAAACTCATATTTCGTCATATCCCAACACTTTTGCTGTATCTGTTCCTTCGTTGAAATGCCATGTCTGCCTATTATCCATCCATGCTTCATGGCCAGCATATTTTCCAGCAAAAATCTGGATCATCTCGCCTTTGAGAGCGTGTAAATCTACCATCTTTTATCTTATGATGATTGTTGCATGGTGTTTTACCTCCGTTGTACTGGGTACGTGTACTTGTTGACAATGAAACGGAGTTGTTGCCTGTTTTCAACATGAAAGTATTTGAAATTCTCTCGCTCATCGCCAATGTTGAAACGAAGGGTCAGCGTGCGCGCAAAGGTAGATTTTGTCGTAGATTTTGTCATAAATTTTGTCGTAGGGTTGTCGTAATTTGTTGTAGGTTTGTCGTAATTTGTCGTAGCTTGTCGTAAGTTGTCGTAAATATTTTACGACAAAATTTACAACAAAATTTACAACAAAAGGCTTGTGGTTAATTATAACTCCACTGTTTTGGAGAAATAAAACAATGTTTTGCCCCCTAAATAATTCTATGTACCCGTAAATGATGGAGGAATTCAATGGAACAAAGTGGAGCTTGAATTTGATGTCTCCGTGCTGAGGGGGGAGGAAAAGTCTGTCTGTCTCCCGTCACACTTTGGTTTCACTACAATCCGAGGCGTGTCCCAGAACCGTCCTTTCAATTTTCGAACTTTCCCATCTGGATATCGTTTACATTTGAATGCCCATGTTGAGGGAAGGACATTCATTGATTGAAGTCGGGGAACCACTTCCCAGACCTCCATTTGCTGTAGGGTCTTGATCTCCTTGATTGCTGCTTCCATGTAACCATTGGCTAGTGGACCGTTCATAGCTTCTTCCCAACCTGGATTATCTTCGGAATTGGCTTTGGCGGCCAGGATCATTGGATGGAGCCATTCACAGGTCTCTGAATCCTGGTCAAAGTCGGTGGTTAGTGCCCACATCTTGGCAAATTTGTTGGAGCAAAGTGTCTCAACAAACTCATTGAACTTTAGAGAAGCGAGAAAACCCTGATTGATGGTGGTGTGTCTCACATTTTGATTTAGAGCAGGTAGGCCATACTTCCTTGGCCTGAATCGGCGTCTTCCAGTTCGCGAAGGCGCTTGTTCTTGTAGGTTTCGTAGAATTCGATCAAGAGTTTCATCTTGCTCGTCATCTTCTGTAGCTTGTTTAGGAATAGGAACGTCTGTAGGAACATTTGGTTGTTCTTCCTTCAGCTACTCCCTCTGGAACTGACAAGTCATCATCGACGTTATCATCGGCGACTTCATTTCGATTATCTTGAACATTCGGAGCTTCCTGAGGCTGGCTGTGAACTGGTTGCACATGAGGTATTGGCGGTTGGTTGACAGGTAGCAGAGGAATTGGAGGTTGCACTGGCACTGGAGGCGCATGACCACCGTTATTACCCCCTGGAAGCGGAGCTTGGTGGCGATGCTGGATGGCTTGTTGGTGGAGGCGGGCACGACAACGATTGTTGATGAGGGTCCGACGTTGGAGTCGAACGGCACGTTCAGTTGGAGTTAGCCATTCATCTTGTAGTGGCGGGGCAATAGGGCGCCCTTGAGCGTCACGGTCAAGAGTATCACGAAAGTTCTCGTACCCGGATTCAACCAAATTGAACCAATGATTGGCATCAAGTTGGTGAGGATTGGCCGCACCCCCTGCATCTGAGTTGGGGACAGTACTGAAGTGGTCGTCACACACAAAATGATATTGTGGTGAGACATGTTTGGTTTGAAGGTTCAGGATTCGCGCGACCAAGGAGGAGTGGTCAGGCGAATAGCCGAGATACATTCCACGTCTTGACCGAGGATTCCACTTAGGAAGCTTCTTTCCATCTTGAAGTTTTGGATCGAGGACATAGGTAGGACATCCAAAGACGTGAAGGCGATGTAGAGAATTGTAGTTGGGGAACCTTGATTGGCTGAAGATTTCCAGTGGTGCCAACCGAGTGTCACAATGTGGAAGGTTGTTCCAGATGTATGCTGCATGTTCCATGGCAAAGGGCCATAAGTGGACGTCCGCTTCGTCAGGCCAGTGAATGACCTGGTGGAGAAGCATGGTCCGAGCCCACTTAGTAACCGTTTGAATTGCACGTTCGGCGACTGCATTCTGATGATGAGCCCCAACACCGCTGAAATCAATTGTCTGCTTCTTCAAGGCAAGATCATGTTGCCAAATTGCAGAGTTGAAGGGCGTGTGGTCTGCTCGATAACTCTTGATATCCGGTACGTTGTTGGCTTTTGCCCATCGCTCGAACTTGTGCTTTGCCATCAGAGTTTTGCCTGCTCGAAGAGAAACTTGATTGACAATGAAGACTGCACCAGAAGCGTGGTCACAAAAGATAGTACCCCCTGAGTACTGATTCTTCTTCTTTTCTTTTCCTTTGGTGTGTGGCAATCTACCAGGTACATAGGAAACGTAGCTATCTATGGAAACTTTGGCACCCGGTGTCAGATCTCCCTCTCAAATAGCCATCTCCCGATCATCGAAGGCATGTTGTGATTCAGGAGTTCGTTGCGCTTGCTTGCCAAGTTCACAAGCGGCACAGAGGATGGTCCGTTGTGAGTTACTTGCTCCTTTATGGCGACATGGTAAGATTGCTTCTTAATTCGGATCGTTAGGTTGTGCTAGGAGACGCTGAATCCATTTGAAGTGAGCATGCCCAAGCTTGGCATGATAAAGCAGCATCTCTTTCTCACCAGCGGTAAGATTTTGATTGTTTTCAGCTCCGACTGACAACATTCCTAACACATCTTGTTCTCCACAGAGCATGTTGGCTTCTTCAAAGCCTAGTCCAGCGCAATGGGCACTCGCGTCCAACATCATTGGAATATTGTTTGATTGGAATGGAAACTCAAGTTCCGATTCGTCGGCGAGCGTGAGGACAACTTTGCGGTGGTTCAAGAAAAGGGAACCAGCTCCCTTTGTCTCTTGGAAGTAGCATTGTGGCGAGAACAATCGAATCTGTGCAGATGGAACCAGGTAAGCTGTAGTTCTGATCCGTCGCACGGATCCATAGACGTCTCTAACAGTCCATTCAACTGTTCCACTTCCCACAACCTCCCACGATCCTTGGAGGCCATTGATAGATTTGAGTGGGCTAGGGCGGACTTTAGAGATGAAATCTGACTCATGAGGTGTAATTGAGACAGATGCTCCGGTATCGATGACCATCGGAGTCAGGTAGACCGACTGATGGTGGAGAGTGTCAGGCAACCGCGGAATATGACAATCAATCTGAGAGATAGCGGCGTTGGCAGCTCAGGACAAGGTTGCAGCATTCGACTTAGCTGCCTTGAGGGTCGTTTTGACTTCTGTTTCTTCGGACTTGGTGTGCAGCGACCATAGAGGATTTGACAGGGCTGCTATTTTTGATGGTATTGCTTGAGAGGATCGACACTTGGAACAAACTGGTCAAGGTCAACTCCATACTGGGCGTCGATCTGGATGAAGCTCAAGTGAAGGAAACGATGCTTGTTCCTTGTGTAGTCTTCGAGGATCTCTTCATCTGAAGGTGAGTTCCAATGATGGGGAACACTTGTGGCTTGCTTTTCGGCTTGCTTATGTTGTCTTTTCCTTTTCTTTTCCTTTGTTCTTGCCGTCTTCCGATAGAACTGTACTCTTTGAGGCTTGACTTGATGGCGTAAGGCTTTGAGGATGAGGTGATAATGAGGTGGATTGCGCTTTCGAGACTTGGGCTTGCAACAGCGCCAGGGAAAGGCACATCAGAGGAGTTCTAGTGCATTGAAGGGAGGAGTTGGCACTAGCGAAGGCAGATATGGCTGTCTGCTTGAACACTTAGTTCGATGACAAAGTCGCTTTGCGACTGGAGGAGAGGATGGAGGAACTATTGAGGGCATTGCTGCATTTAAGATGAGGACGAAACTGGCGAGGACGAGCAGTTTCAAGAGGTATAAAAAGTCAACTAGACTTAAAGAGGAGACCTCATCCATACCCCCTTGCAGCAAGGGCCACCACATGGTGACGGAAGGGTAGGACGGGATGACGGTAGAGAGGAAGACTACAATCATCCGTAGGAGTCAAGTGGCACGGTTCACTTGATCAATGAGTTGACAATGGCAGAGACCTGCTGACGAATCTGAGGAAGGTTGGTAGCAGAAGTTGCAGCGGTCAAAGCAGAGGCATCGCCAGAGGGGACTTGGTTGACGGGCGGAGCAGGGGGCAGGAGCCGCAGCCGCTGAGGAGCGGGAGCTGGAGCTGCAGGAGCTGGAGCTGGAGTTGGAGCACCAGATAGGAGTGCATGGGGGCGATTAGTTGTCTCGGACTGATCATCACAGAGCATCACAGAGCTTCCAGGATTTAGATTTAAAATGATAGTAGTACCATTTCTTGTTCACTTTCAGTCGAAAGTCGTCTGTTTGTCCATCAGATGATAGCCGTTACTGAACGTCTGCACCCCAACGGCTAACGTATCCAAAGTATCTTATACAGGTATCAAGATTCCCAATCTTGACTACAATATTCCCTCGCTAAGCTTCGCCACATTCTCAATGTTGTTAAGACTAAGCATCGCTACTGCATGCGTTGAGATGGTCGGAGTTTCATCCTGTTTACATCCTTCACAACACAAAATCACTATAATTTTCAGAATACTGTTTTATCACACATTTTCGGACATTTTACAACTAATTCAGTACTTGAAGCACGACAAGCCTGGACAACCTTGTGCCTGCATTCTCAAGTAATCAAGGCTGTACACGCTACAGCTTTGAGTCTTTCGCTCGATTTTTCTTCCGATTAGATGGCACGGGAAGATGCTCAAATTGAACTCCGGCGCCAAGCCTGGAACGCCCTTTCTTGCCTGGATTCTTTTGGGCCTTCTTTTCGTCAAAGAATTTCCGCTTATTCTGTGCGACGCGCTCTTTATTTATTGGTTCCGTGCAGGCAGTGACGGAATGCTTGCCACCGCAGTTGAGACAGGGTCCCACTGCCTTTTGAGCCGAAAATGCAGTTTCGTTGACCTTGTGAAATTGGCCAGTCCATCCCTCTTTAGAGACCATGCAATTCTGATAGATGCTCGTCGCGAGATCGAGTATCATATCAGGGGAACCATAAGCAGCATCGCCTTGAGTAAGTGCCTGCTCGTATGCGTTGATTTCTTTGTTGTAGAAAACCTCATTGAACTTGGGATCACTCGATGTCTGGAACAACGAGATGAGAGTTTTGCCAATGTCATGAGGAACGTTCGAGGAGACCACTCTCCCATCGATACGTTTTTCAAGTGACTTGAGTCGAGTCAACATCACCTTAATGTGACTAACCAAATCGTCCACGCTTTCTCCTTCATATTGATCAATGCAAAGTGTCCTGAGCTGGCCTTGAATCGTCTCCACGACGAGCTGAGAGTTGACTTGGAGGCGTTTCATCACGAAGAAGAAGACCAAGGGACCGCCCATTCCTTGGGTATCCCGATAAGGAAGAAGGTCTTCGAGAACTTTGCCCCATAATTGTGGAGTCATATGATTGCACAGATAATCATAGGACAGGCTTAAGTTCTCGCTGAACCAAGGACTGGTGGTTGCGTCGGGCCACCTTGTATACCACTTGCAGCTTTCTGCCACCTGGTCAGCGGTAAGTTCGGCGTAGCGATCGAACAGAAACACTGTCTTGGTCACGTTAAAATTATCCGTCCCTAACTGTCCCGTTTGTTCACCGATCGCATTCTTGGAAGGAAATACAATAGTGAAAACGTCCAGGACGTCATAGCGCTTGAAGTGCATTTGCATGTTGCCAAGGCCGACGCCAAGATAATAGCTTTCCTTGAAGGTCTTGAACACTTTGCATGGTCTGCGGTTGGAGATCAAACGAGGTATGTTGATGCTTTGTGATGAGTTGAAAGAAGGCGTGCTTCTTATCTGCGTCCAATGCTGACCTGTTTTCTTTCTTCATGGCGACAAGCGAGCCACCCACATCAGTTGCCGGGGTCGCCTGTGTCATGATGGTCACACCACCGATGGTGACCTGGTTGGCCTGATTGCGTGCTGGCATCGCGACTTGCGGAGGGTTCTGAACTTGCTGAGGGTTGGTGCTTGCTCGAGAGCCAGCCGTTGTCACAGGCTGTTGGAGGGTTCCTTCGAGGTTGTCTGAGAAATATCTCTGAAGTTGAGGGGTAGCTTCTTCCTGAGACAATCCTCTGAGGTGACTTGAGGTGTGGAAGCGTTCCTTTTCTTCTTAGATCGCTTCTTCTTGGAAGGAGTCGCCGGTTCAGGCGTTGATGACATTCACTATTTTGTTGTATCTACTCAGCGATACTTGGGCTCATAACCTGCGAGGATTGTCTGTAAACGGACTTGAGGGACAGTCGAGGACACTAGACAATAGAGATGTAATAGAGATAGGATTGCTATTCTTATTGATGATGGTTCATGAAAGTGAGGATTGCTCTGAACTTGAGCAGAGGATCCAGCAGTAGATACATGTAGAGAGTAGTATATAGAATTCGGGAGAAGAACTGAGGTGTCAAATGATTGTGAGAATTACCCAATCAGAGTAAGCCACTGGTCCGATCTATTGGACTTGCGGTGCGATTCGTTTGACCTCAACAAGAACCAGCCAAACAAAGCAGGGTAGATTGTAGTGTAATTGAGGAAATTGGAAGTATGAATCGCCGCTCCAGCCATAGTCTATCTATCAAATACGCTTGCCACAACATGTTTGGCAGTTTTTACTTCTCTGGGCGTCCACACTGGCTTGTCCAAAGGAGGGGAACAATCACACCATGGCACCTTGATGTGCTCCAAATTGTCAATTTTGGTAGTTTGATACTGCGAACGAGTCTCTGTGTAGATATTGTCTTGATGGTGACGGTAGATATGAGTCGCATTTGGCAAATACGTCTTCTTGACACCTATCTGTTGGGATATGACAAAATATGAGTTTTTATGTTCCAAGAAACACTATTCAAGTACAAATTTTTGACAAGCACTATCGGATTTTGATCGTGATGTCAGCAATTTGACGCTAGTCTGTCGGACAATCTATATCCACATGGAAATGGGAAGACCCAATACAAGTGGAATATCCATGTTGTGTATGATGCAGTAGGGAATAATACAAGATGTCCCAAAGTACTGTATTCGACAAAGAGCCCTCGTAGAAGTCGGATTGAGTTCTGTAAACAAGGGATTTTCCAAGGGAAAATCGTTGAACTCACTTTTGTGATTGAAACATCAATTCAAGCCAAACATTAATCAAATTGGAACAATTTCACTCAAAGTATACCTAACACAGGAGAACTATTGTCGTGAAAGTGTTGTATAGTCAATTACAAATTTAGATTGCAGAGAGTTTGTTCTGAGCGCTAAAGGCACTCAAGATAGAGCCCATTTTGCTTATTTCTAACATTCAATCACAAAAGTCAACAAAACAAATATACGTCAAGAACAGCACTGCCTTATCTACAAAGGAGTGAGTGATTTGTTGACTATGGGACGTTCTTCATCCGGTGGTGGAAAAGGACGTGTGACTCCTCATGAAGTAAAGAGTAATCCAAGTCCAACAGTTGTGAAACATCTATTTTCAAAAAAAGTTGAGAATGATAGAAAGGCAAGATTGTCGTACGAAGATGCCAACGAAAGACTGATTGACTATGTTCAAGCTTCTGGAATGAAATATTCAGAAGACATGGTGAAATCGATTTGTGACGGAAAGTCAATTGACTTTGATCAAACAAGATTCTCTATTCTGCAAAACTGACCAATCATATGAGCAGAGCAGCTTATTTTGAAACGAACAAGCGAACTGTTAAGTCAAACATCATGCTTAAGTTTGTGACGAAAGAGATGGATATCAAGCTTCTAGGTGAAGCCAATTTCACAACTACTCTTGAAGATCCAATCAAACTCTTGAAACGTATTGAACGATTCATGAAGAAGAGTGCTGATGCGGAGTATGACTTCTTAGATTTCTGGTAAGCTAACCAAAAGTTCTTTGCAACGAGGCAATGAACCACAGAAAACTTGACCCATTTCAAGGAACGGTTCTTGAGACAGGCTGAAGTCCTGCAAGATCTATATGGCGTTGCCTGGTTCCGAAATTTTGCAGTCAAGACTAAAGCGTATGCTGCTATTGCTAGCACCAATACTGCTGCTAAAGACAAGTTCAAGGATGATATCTTTGAAGCTGTTCTTGCAACAGGATTCCTTTGCAACTGCAATTGAACGAGAACAGCTCCTTTGATGCTGGATCTTCAGATGAACTATTGCAGGGAAGTGGATTATTATCCAAAGACGGTCAGCAAAGCACAAGATATGTTGAAGATTCACATGGATGTGATTAAGAATCCGGGAGTGAACCTCTACCAAGGAAAAGACCAGCCAAATAAAGGTAAAGGTGAAGGCGAAGGTAAAGGTAAACCAAAGGCTGGAAAGAAGAAGGCAGCATGTCATGTATGTGGCAGCGAGGACCATATGTCTCCAAAATGCCCAGACAGACTGCTACCAGCGATTCAATGGAAAAAGCTGGATCAATATGTTGATTACGGAAAGAAGCTCAATCTTAATCAGATTGGAGCAACAGTCAAGGTTACAGTCCCAGCTACAGTTCCAGCTACAGTTCCTGGAGCTTCTCCAGTGACAAGTATTATCACAAGTGGAGGATCGAGTGTTGCGGGAAGCGTTAACACACCTTTGCGACTTGCTGGTACTACAGGTAATCAAATGATGCAAGTTCCTGCGGGAATGCAGCTCATGCAGATTCCAACTCAAGGTGGCGGCGCTGTGACTGTCCCTTACTCAATGAATGCTAATGGTGAGATTGCGTTCAGTGGAATGCAACTCAGCCAACAAGGCTTCAGTGGTGCTCAAGTGCGCCAAGGATTTGATGCAACTCAAGCTTGAACTCCACAGGTCATGAAGACTGGTTATTTCGATACGTCAAATAAAGGTGTGTATGTGTTGGAGCAACTTGGAGCGAATGTCGAACCAGGTGCCAAAGAGACAAGTGCAATGTATCGTTTTATAACAGAATATTATTATTATTGGGTGAACGCTCGAGATTACACTAGAAGATAAGGATATCAATTCAAGGTAAACAAAACACAAGGCAATGAGCCGATCGGGAATTGGCGAATGTTGATGTGTGGTTCTCAACATTCTCATCCAATGACACGTCATATATCTATTTTACTACTAATTACTATAAGACCCATAAGACCGCTAACGATTGAATTGTATTGGTCCGAATCACAAAACCCGTTCTTGATACAATTCTGTCATTTTAATTAAGCAACGTAAATAAACAACCCCATTTTGAACTTTCTTTAAACAAACAGAATGGATATGCTGGACTAGGGATGACCTCGAAGATGGCAACTGTTTGAAAGAACAAGGAAGGATTCACTCCAAGACAAGTCAAGGCTGCGATGGAAGCAAGAAGTGCGATGCACATACTCAATGCTCCAAGCACCAAAAGTCTGATCTGGTCTCATCAAGAACTGTCCAAAGCAATCTTTGGAACTGACGCATCTACTTTGAAAGGCAAGTCGACAAGACCAACTCCAAAGAAGACACATGATGACTTCTTCAGTCCACCAGAGTACGAATTGTATCAACACAATCAAACAATTACCGTCTGTATTGATCACATGGAGATCGGAGATGCTAAGTTTCTCACCTGCATTGATACCACTGTGCGTTATCTCTCATGTATTCCCATGCAGAACCTCAAGACTGAACCTGTATTTGAAGCATTGGATAAGATTTTCCGCCGCTACAATAAGGCAGGCTTTCATGTCAAGACGATCAAGTGTGATTGGGCATTCATCCCTCTAACGGATGATATGCTAGATGATATGGGTGTTACTATTGACCCGACTGCAGCTGGAGACCACGAGCCTACAGCTGAGCGAAACAATAGATCGCTGGAAGAAAGAGTCAGAGTAGCCGTTGCAAGTGTGATCGGGCATTCATTCCTCTGATGGATGATATGTTAGACGATATGGGTGTTACTATTGACCGGACTGTTGCTGGAGACCACAAGCAGCTGAGCGAAACAATCGAACGCTGAAAGAGAGAGTCAGAGTAGCTCTTGCACAATTACCCTACAAAGTGGTACCAAAGGTGATCAGTGAACGTCTTGGACGTCAAGCCGCCAAGCTATTGAATGTCTTTCCCCCAAAAGACAGTATTTCCTCACATTTCAGTCCGCAGCAACTCATTGATAATGTCAATATCAACTACAAGAGTGATATGGTTGCTGAGCTTGGACAGTATGTTCATGCAATTGGGACGGATTCCAACAATTCAATGGAACCGCGAAGTATTGAAGCGATCTACATTGAACCTACAAAGGGACAATGTACTGGGCACCGAGTGCTCAACCTGAATACTAAGAAGATGATTTCTCGACCCAAGCTTGTCCTACTACCCGTTACCGATCAAGTAATCCAGCGTGTTGAAGCCTGGGCTGCTGCTGAAGGTGTTACTTCCATGAAGTTCTTTGATAAGAAGAGAGATTTGGAGACATTTTAAGATGGCGATCAAATCGCAGGAGTGGATGACACGGAACAAGGTTACTTAGAAGAAGCCTTTGATCAGGACTATGAACCTGAAGATGAAGATGAATGTGATTTCAACCTACGTGGACAATTTGATGATATTGATGACTCCGAAAGAAATGAGCTCTTGGCAGATGCAGACAATGATGTCGATGATATGCCAGAACTCACTTTCAGATTCCAAGAAGATGATGACTATGAATCAGATCACAACAACTCGGGTGATGAGGAAGAAGAACCTATTGTGGCCGATTTGGATCACCATCAAGAAAATGTCGATAGAGGAACCGTTGATATTGGGAGCCTCGTTACTGATCTGGAGGACCTACAAGAACCGCCAGAAGAAGAGATTGTATTTGAGCCTGAAGAGCCTCAATAGCAACATTCACTCGTTCTGGGCAAACGTACGCACAAGCTGCAATGTCAGGGCTTAACCTTTCTCAAGTTCCAAAGAAACCAAGAGAATGGCCTTCGAGCAGGAGTGGCAGTTCTGCCAATAAGAACAAGAATTGAGTTGCGACAAGACGCAAGCATCGAGAGAGGGAAATGAAACCATTGAAGGACAAATTAAAGTCTGGTATTTGTACCAAAGAAGGAAGTCGCAGTACTAAAGACAGTAAAGCTATCCTTGAAGCACAGCACAATCTATGTTTCCAACAGATTGGGAATGAGATGAAAGCTGATTATGAAGAGAACGATGCTATTCTGATCGCTCGTTTGCATGATGCAGATCAAGGCAAAATTCGAAACTGATAAAGGTCTGAACTTCATCCAACAGTATTACATCAATCAAGGTGATGATGGAAAAGATGCTGTGTTTAAGGGATTGAGACAAATGCTCCTGAGAGATTCTTTTACTCCCGAATTTGTGAAAGACATGACTGCGTCTGAGCGAAAGAAGGCCCAATCAGCAATGATGTTACTCGCGGAAAAGCAATTCGAAAAGACAATTAAAGGTCGCCTAGTATACCGAGGTGATGGAACTCGTGAATGGTTATTGCGAGAGGACACTGCAAGTCCAACTGCTTCGCAATAAGCAATCACCTCTACTTGTGTTATTGATGCACATGAAGGTAGAGATATAATGACGATGGACGTGCCTAACGCTTTCATTCAAACTTATATGCCTGGAGCTAAGGAAGGAGAAGATCATATCTACTGCAGTATATGCTACATTGGTCCGCCAATGGAGCACTAGCAAACACTGCTCGCGTTTAGCGCAAACGGACACCTGTGACGTTACTATAGAACAGTAATCACAAGGGTCAACTGGACTAGTAATACAAATGTATGTCTGGGCCGCGTACGTACGTCTACTGTACACATGATGAAGCACGATTTTAGATCTTTTAAAAGAGGACTCACCACCATTGTAGAAGATGAGTGCCTTCTGTAGTGAAGACTCAATGTAAATGCAAAGTAGCTGATGCTATTGCAGAGAACATATGGTAAGTTCGAGCTGGATGGCTATTGTAACTAACTCTCTACCTTACTCCAGGAGAAATGGTTCCTTCATTGGACTTGAACCTCCTCCTCCTCCTACAGCGGACTCTCTAAGTCGTGAGAGACTTTTCAGAGTCCTAACTCCGCTCAATACTCGCAATCCTACCTACTTTGTGTATATCACTCCGTTCAAGAACGGAACCGCTGAAGAGTTTTTGATTTTCATGGAGAAAACCAGGCAAGTGTTTCACGACGGTCAGCCGTCGCGGCACCCTCTAGACAAGTGCCAATTCATTGAAGAATTCCTAGGTCCTTACAAGCGAACGACCCTCTGCGGTGTCCTTCCTCACAATCGCACCACTACTACAGCAGAAGATCTCAACCGAGCTCTTCTTGCTCTCAAAACCTCAATTTTTCCAAATAATGCAGCTCGATTTCAGAAGAAATTGTTGCGTTCAATGCGGAAGCCGATGACGTGGACGACACGTGGATTTTCACAAAGAATTCGTGAGATCAACAATTGAATCCAATCATTTCCGCCATCAAACGACAATGGAACGCCGCTTCCTCTTCCTGACAACAAGATCGTCGACATTGTCTTTAGCGCATTGCCACGCAGCTACATCCAAATGATGAAGAAGTTTGGATTTAATGCAGCAGCAGCGTCTATCAACGAACTTGTTCAATTCTGCAAAGATCAGATTGAAGCCTTCATCAAGAATGGACCAGCTTTGATTGAGAACGATGAAGCGTCCTCCAACAATTCCGCGTCCTGCAGCGAATCTTCCTCCAACAACGATTCGGCTTCTAATAACGAGTTTTGCGAAGCCTCCACCAAAAACCATTTCACTTCTTCATTCGACAAGTTTGATGAAGCAATCAATATTAAATCCTGACATCCAGGTCCTGCCGAAGAATCCTTTTTGCTGGTATGAGATGATACCGGTGACAACAATAAACCATTCATTCTAGCGTCAGATGACGAGAGTAATACTACTTGTAAAAGTTATTGTGATAATAATAGCAGATGCTATGATTACATAGATGCTGTGTTAGATTTACACATCTTGATCTTATTCTTCCTAACCAAATATGAAAAGAAGCGAGACTTCTTTGACAATCAACTGATTCCTATGTCATGTATTTGCTGCGCCCCAAAAAGAAACGCAGGGTCCAGAAGCTGCCTCCTATTCTTCATATTAGGTTCCAACAGTCTGAGCAAACAAAGGCCCAATCAGCGATGATGTTACTCGCGGAAAAGCAATTCAAAAAGACAATTAAAGGTCGCCTGGTACTATACCGAGGTGATGGAACTCGTGAATGGTTATTGCGAGAGGACACTGCAAGTCCAACTGCTTTGCAATAAGCAATCACCACTACTTGTGGTATTGATGCACACAAAGGTAGAGATATAATGACGATGGACGTGCCTAACGCTTTCATTCAAACGTATATGCCTGAAGCTAAGGAAGGAGAAGATTGTATCTACTGCAGTATATGCTACACTGGTCCGCCAATGGAGCACTAGCAAACACTGCTCGCGTTTAGCGCAAACGGACACCTGTGACGTTACTATAGAACAGTAATCACAAGGGTCAACTGGACTAGTAATACAAATGTATGTCTGGGCCGCGTACGTACGTCTACTGTACACATGATGAAGCACGGTTTTAGATCTTCTAAGAGGACTCATCACCATCGTAGAAGATGAGTGCCTTCTGTAGTGAAGACTCAATGTAAATGCAAAGTAGCTGATGCTATTGCAGAGAACACATGGTACTATGCTACAGTACTTCTACATATGCTTCCTTGCCACCTCAGCACCACATCAGCTCCACATCACATCCAATTTCATTCCTAGAATAATCTCACAATATTTTAGAGTTACCCCTCATCACTCCTATTACATTCCATCTTCGTACATACGACACTACATGAAAATCACTGGCATGATGGTCCAGATATTGATTGACCTGGCCCCAGAGTATCGCGAATATGTTGTATTAGGCGGAAAGTTATCGAACCAAAAATGATGCATGCAGCGTGAATTTTTCCACGCTGGACAGTTACTTCCGGGTACCCCTTGAGCTGCATCCATTTTGCATCAAGTGTTTAAAGGATGTGCATTGACAACAAGAATAATCGTAAAACCTTGATGCCTTAAAATTAATTGTGTTGATGTGAGAACATCCAAGCAAACTATCGCTCAACGTACGCATAACGCGCACGTACAAATCGCTAGTGTTGTTGGCTTCAGTCAGCGAGCCAACCAGTCTCAGGTATGTCTGCCTGGCCTTAAAACACTCCTCTCAAGCTGGAAATGCGCTAAAGCGTAACAGATTGCAAATGGGGCAAGGACTTTGTTTCAAGGGTTGGACAAACAGTTCACAAACAAGGATTTCAACGAAACAGGGTACGTGGTTCGGTCAGGGCTGGAGACCTACATCCCCCAGTACATGGATATATCGAATCATCGATCAATATCATAGGCATATCGAATCACACATCGATAAATATCAAAACATAGAAATATTGAATCACCGATCAATATCATAGATATATCAAATCACACATTGATCAATATCATATATATCGGATCAATCATCAATCCTTTTCATAGCATAGAAATATTGAATCACAAATCAATATCTCAATATACATCTTGGATCACGCATCAATCCTTTTCATAGATACGTATCAAATCACACATTGATACATATCAAGCACATCAATACATTGACATACAATGATTTACCGCCCATGGACTTGGTGAAGCAGGCTCATTCTTCGCCATAGAGCAGTCATCAGTCAAATCAACGTCACTTTCATGAGTGTTGACCTTTGACCTTCGCCGTTCATGTTTTGTAGCTCTGTTACGGATGAAGTAATGGGCAATGGACTGTGACTTCTTCATTCGGGAGTTGGGAAAACCTCCTGTCATAGCAAACACAGACTTGTTCTCAACAGAGATAAAAGTAGCGCCAAGTACAGGGATTCCTTCATCCTCAACTCATACAGTAAGCCAAGAAGACATTCACAACAAAGTCTCAATGCTCAAGCCACTTCCAAAACTGCTGGGGGCAACAG